GGTGGAGGGTGAGACGGCAGCGCGGGCGGGCAAAGGAGCGGCGCTCGTAGCCGGCTCGGGGCCTTTTACTACTTCCTACCGTGCAAAGTGCTAAAACCGGAGAGCCTATTCCACGTCCCCAATAAAGTAATTAAAGTGAAGGAGCGTTGGGAGGTACTGTTGGGGTGATGGTGGCTACAACTAGGCGAGCTCTGGCTTCAGAGCCACCCGCTGAGCCTGGCTTGAGGGGAGGGAGCCCCACCTGGGCTCGCGGGGATGCTCGCGGGGATGCTCGCGGGGATGCTCACCGTCACCCCCTGGGGCATCCCATTTCCGAGAGGTGCTTTAAGCCCCGTTGGCGCTGCCCGTCCTGGCCAGCACGGGGCTGTCCCCTTGCGTTTCTTTTTGGGGGAAATTCGATAAGCTCAGAGCTGCCCCTCCTTATCGCTTTGCGCCGGGGGCACCGCGGTCCCCGGGCGGCGCTGAGGGTGGGGGGGGGGGGGGCCGCTGGGGCAGCGATGACTGTGCAGATAGTGCTGGACGGAAAAAGCAGCATCTCCTCGCCCGCTCGCGCCAGCCTCTCGCTGCAGGGACCTTTATTAGGCAGGAGCTATAAATTTGCTCGCGTGGATATAAATGTACGGCAGGGAGGTTGGTGCCAACTGCGAGGCTCGCGCCGAAACGCGGCTGATACTTGGCAGCACGCGGAGTCCCGTCCCGTCGGGAAGATCATCCGGAGATATCTATGTACTGTAGGCGATACGAGGCACTCGCTAAAAATACCCTCCCCAAACTTGTGTGTGCGTTCGGAGAGGCTAATGGTTTCTACGGGTGTCGTTTAAGCGGGGAGGAAAAGCGAGAGGGGGAGCAGAAAGCCCTGACACGGCCTCTGGATGCGCTGCTCGCAAATATGTACTGCTCCCTTTAATAACAAACATCGAGCCGCGGCGTTTTTTCCTGAGCCCTGTTATAATAAGCTCAGATGTTGGATGACATTTTTCCCGGTGACTCACATAGTAAAATTAACCTTGAACTATTTACATATTCAATC